ATGTAAAAAAACGGTTAAAAATGCGACATCTGTGTAGCTTATGCAGGAAGATTAAGACAGATAGAGAGGAAGCATGGAAAATTGGATGGATGGAGGGGGATGGCAAAACTTCAGGCTGATTACGAAGGAGGAAGGATTTATTTATTGACTAAAGGCACTGGCAGCTCGCTCGGTTCTTCGAATGTGCTCGCCTTTGTATGTTTACGTCTACGTGTGCGTATACTTTCTCGTTTAAAGTGCCATGACAAAACACTGCCCTAAGTGTCGTCCTGAGTGATTCAAGAATGTTAAAATGGGAGAGCGCGAGTAGCAGGTCCACCTCGTTTGTTTACGTTCTCCGCCACACACTAGGACTCTCAATAAAGTCGCTCTCCCTCTCTCAGCGCTCTCTCTCTCTCATGCTCTCTCTCTCTCTCTCTCTCTCTCTCTCTCTCTCTCTCTCTCTCTCTCTCTCTCTCTCTCTCTCTCTCTCTCTCTCTCTCTCTCTTTCTACACACACACACACACACACACACACACACACACACACACACACACACACACACACACACACACACACACACACACACACACATATATATATATATATCACACACACACCTCTTCCTCTGCTCTCCTTACTTTTCCTTCCTTCTCCTTTCCCAACTTTCCCTTCCCTCTTCCTCTCCCTTTACTTCCCCTCCCTCTGTTCCTCCCCTCCCTTCCTCTCTCCCTCTCCGCTCCCTCCCTCCCGACGCTGATCCAAAGCGGTGTCCCAGTGAGCAGCACGAATGAAAGAACAATCATCTCAAGGCGACGGCGGCCCCGAGCCAGCTGCGGTGCCTCGTGAGGTAAAAAAAAAAATCTGACTGCATTATGAACATCAGTGCAGTGTCGCAGGTCAGAAATAGAAATGTGTTTATCTGTAGTTTTTTTTTTTTTTATTTGTTTTGATTTTCACCTGTGTACTTTCTCTGTTTTGTCAAGCTATTTCTGCGGGAGTACCTCTGTGTGTGTGTTTGTTTGTATGCGTGTGTGGGTGTTTGTGTGTGTGCGTGTCAGTGTGTGTTTATATGTTTGTGTCTGTTTGTGTGTGTGTGTGTTTGGTTAAGCGTGTTGGTTTGTAAGTGTGTTTGTGCGAGAGAAAATGTATCTAAAGGAAGAGTGAGAGCGAAAGTGTAGGAAAGACAGAGAGAATGTAATTTTAATGTGTGTATGTAATATACTCTTCTGTGAACACGACATTACATGATCTTAGCTTGTTTTTGTTTCGGAATTAGCAATTTAACAGAGTGCAGGAGAAAGCGCTCCTCTTCTAAGATAACCCAGAACATAGAAACGAAAACAAACAATGGGACTCTACGCACAAAATAATAATACTAATAAAACGAAAAGTTAGCCTTAATCAAAAGTAGCCCAAGATGACTACAGGATAATAGATATGATGAATTATATAATGCATACTACGAAATCAAGCAAATATGTATACAAGACGTACAAACAAACTTAAAATTCTAACTAAACAATTATCTCAATACTCTGATCCCTCATTTTCTACCGCAAAGTTTTGATTCAAAGATGCTGTCATATCTTAAATGAATTGAGAATTTCAAAAGAGAATTTATTATCATAATTTGTCAAGAACTTGAAGTGAAAAAAATGACGATTATTTATCAAATAGTATGAGATCGTTTTCTTGCCTTACAGATATATGCTAGATATTACATTATCGCCTGTTTCATAACAATGATTATTGATGTTATGTATGAGATGCATCACGAGTGAATGTTCGAATGATGGCAAAATTTTTCGTCATCTTTCACTTTTTAATTCATCGAGAAGCCTCAAGGAATGTTGTGAACATGAAACCCACAGCTTGCAACTATGTAATAACTCTCTAGTGGAGGAGAGAGAGACCCTGTGAGCGTGAAATGTTAAATTTTCCTTTATTTCAGAATTTCAAACCAACCCTGTTCTCGTAATAATAACACGCTGAGTGTGTGTGTGAGAATGAAATGATGTTCTCATTTAAATACTCCAAATGTCGCTCATCGAGAAAAAACGCAGAATAACTAAAAGTAATAACATAGCATTACAAAAATTATTCAAAATTTAAAATTCATGACCATGTAACTTCAAGTGGAGTTGCATTTGAGCTACTTTCTCAAGGCAAATTATCAGAAATAGGATCCAGAAATAGTAACTGGTGTAAGAAAAACGTGTCGTGTAATTAGGATTGCATAATAGGTCCTAGAAGCTTCTCTCGCTGTGGCAGAAAAAGACACTATACAGAAAAGATGCTTGACTAAAAGTAAAACATACGTGTTTCGCACAAACCTTGCTCTCTGGAAAGAAAATATTGCAAGGTTTGTTTTGAAGGACCACCGGTTTTATGGCATAACAACGGAAACAAGCAGCTGGTGTTACTTCAATATATCGCGATTACTTAAAGCCTAGTTTCAGTCAAAAGACCGGGGCTCTACATAACGAAAGAGGTGTAAGGTCTACAAACACTCAAGTG